AATTACCTGTCTCGTTGAATCATCAATTGTTCTTTAAGCTCTATAATATTGATTGGTAGGTCTTTATTGCATGGTAAAGATGTTGGAAGAAAAAGTAGACATTCTAGAAGCGTTAAATGTGCAAACAGATATTGTTGCTTATTGTCTATCATATTAATCCTTTGATTTCTAATTGCTTGAGTTTCGGAGAACACGTTCACTGCCTAAAGATATTTTTAAAAAGTAGACACTGCGTTCTGCTTTCAAAAAAATTTCGCGAAAATATTTTTTTTAAATATATTTTACCCCTTCTGCCGCGGCGCGTCGAAGGCAAATGTCACATAAAATTACAATTCCAGTTCTCCCAACACCTGCGCTGCAATGGACCACGACTGGTCCATTTCCGGGTGGTGTTGCCAAGAGTTTCTTTAAATACGTTACCACAGAATGCGTGAACAACGGCGCGCCATGATCTGGCCATGCTGTGTAGTGTAAATGCTCGATCTAATTTTTCAATTAATTAATCGCGTTAAAAAGAAAATCATACACGTATTTTAATCGATATCAATTTTGTTTCTCACTTTTCGAGCTTCGTCTCCATACGTCACGTGCAAGGTGCGAAACGTAAAATCTGCGAACACGGCATGTTTCGCATTGAAAACAATTATATCTCCGTATCTTTTCTTTTTCCCAATATCAGGCCAATATTGTTCGCATTTTGTCTAATAACAATTTGAATATCACGTCAAATACCACCTATTGATTTTAATACAAAATTTTTACCTTTCCATCTTCAATTAATCTCGCAACCATGCAAATGATGTAACTTTCTTCTTGCCAGATCATTCTCCAAAAATCGATGATCGTATTGGCCTTTGGACCTTGCGTAGCTATGTAAAATTTCTCCTTTTTATAACCCTTTTATAAAAAATTCCATTTATCGGCACATAATCTTTCTTCAAGACAGAACAATACTCTTATCCACTTAATATCGATTACCTTGATGTAAGTAGCGTTAATATAATCTGAATAAGGGTCATCCGGAAGTTTCTCTAGTATCACGCGATTTTCATCGTCTGTAGAATATCGATTTAATTACTAATTAGCGTATTCCACAATTCTGTAAGGAAGTATTTACGTACAGGCTATGAGATTTCCATATCTATTCTTCGCTTTGTTCTCTTCTAACTTCCCGTATTCCCATGGTTTCGTTTGTCCTCGTGGAAGGGTCTTATTTGCAATCCAAATACGTACACGGTTACAAAATTTATTACATCCGTAATGTAATAATATGTTTAAATATGAAAGAACTCACATTATACTGTCTATCGAGTAATCCAGACTCGAGTGCATGCTTTACGTATTTCTCCAAGTCTTTCACTTTTACAAGTGACATTCCTCCTTCTCGCTGATTAACGTCATTAATGCATAATGTGTCTCCATTGTAAGTGGTATTCTCACATGATGGAAACTTTTTATCGGACGACGAGGCGGTAGTGACATTTAAGAATTGTTTAGAACTCGACGATATCGATTCTGTTTCAAGATGAACCAAATCTTGCAGCGTGATCTTTTCCAAAGATCTTCTTTGCTTTCTACGACGAATACAATGGCTGGTATCAAATTATCCATTTCATTCGGTATCGTATACAGAATAGGAAGAAAAATCTGTTTGCACCTTTGATAAAAGTAAAAGACTAGAGCTCCAACGATAAGAAATATCGTGATTGGAACGATCCAAATTTCGTCGTATCGTTTCGACACTTTGCCAACACGAATTGATGTTATCTCCACGATTACGATCCGATCGTTCATCGATTCCTCTTCCATTAATGCTATCATTATTGCGTAAGACTCGGCCGGTTTCAGCGCGCAATTCGTGGCATTACCGTAAATCTTGTTATCGCCTATTGTGAGTGTTTTATCGGCAAACATGCCAGTCTATTCGAGAAAGGGTGAAAGTTTGTTTGACAAAAAAAGAGTATACAGATTGCAACATCTACGACCGATTCTAAAGATCAAAACGAACACAAAAGTTGGCAATACTTAAAAATAACATAATAAATAAGTTTTCGTTAAAGAAAATATATTAATACTATTATATTTAACGTAGTTGATTTTTTAGTTTTAAAGAGGCGAAGGAAATGTTACATAAAGATTCGAATACTTACAGGAAACGTGGCCGCACACCACGCGATCTCGTAATATTTGATACCCACTTTCTCGCGCAGATAGGGGCTCAATTCCGTGTAATTCTGGCAAGCCTGGCCACCTTTTACAACGACATTCGTCACACTGTTTTTCGTGTCGTTCAGAACGGGAGGAATGTGCAACAAGATGGTCGAGTCGCGCGTTTCCATTGTTAACTCTTTCTCGAATGCCATTGCCAAAAGCGTTCTCGCTTCTTCTCTTTTCTCCTCCCCGTATAATCCGGTATTTGTCACTGCTCGAATGGAAATTTCATAAATGGACGAAGAAAATAGATGCAATTTCGTACTGTACAACGATTGATATTCGTCGACTCGATATTCGTAAACCGCGCGCTTTTGTGGAATTTGCATTTTGAGTCGCGACGATATCATTTCTGCCCTTATCACGAATTTCTCCAGATGTCCACCCGTCTTCCAAGGGTGAGACCATGTTAGATTTACCACCCCATTTTCGAGAGCCTCGACGATGAAAACTTGGGGCGCCTGCGGCTTAATTCTCGTCCAAACGATTTGCAATGCGGTCGATGACACGTTGGACGTCGACACGTTTACGTTCTCTGGATATATCTGAAAAATGTTCACACGTGTCTTATTAAGAATAATATCGTATCTCGTTTGATCAAGAATAGATGGCGTACCTTGATTTCTTTGACTGGATGTTCAACATTCGCGCAGATATATTTATCCCATAATTGGCAATACTCGGTTGGTCGTATCTTCGATATTACCTGGCAACTCGAAAAACAACTTTTCACCACGTAATATTTTATTTCCCCGTTGACAGGTGGTTCCGGTTTTTGCCATCTGAAGTATACTCTCATCGATCGCAAGTCGATTTCATAAATCTCCAAGTTCTTCACACGAGGTGGCTCTGTGGTTCGTGAATTAATCTTAATTATTACTTAAGAGATTCTTAATTTCTTCTTTTCGAGTGATTATTATCAACGATCTAACCTTTTGGAGGGGTAATGAATATCAGTTTTTCATATCGCGATTCATTGTGCTTTCCGCTATAATTTCTGATGGCATAAATTCGCGCTTCGTATATTTCGCCACCGTGTAGCACATCGTTCAAATAGCAAGAATATTCCGCGGTTTGCATTGTGATGCTAAAATTCCTCACCGCTTTGCTAATACCGGTGACAACAATTTTCGCAATTATAGGCCCAGAAATTGTGAAGCAATCTTTAGGCGCGTCCCACGTCAATGTGTAATTTTGAAATCTTAAATTATTATATATTGCGGTTGCAGTGTCTGAAAGTATCAAACTTTCATTGCCTCTGCAAACTTTCGTTAAAAATAAACTCTTTTTACCTGTTTGTTTTGTAGTGAACTCAATTCGTTTCTCCGGTCCACAAAAAGAAGTGCAGGCTGCAATTTTTCCAACATAATGCGCATAAGGAATTAAGTTTGAAAATGTGATATTGGTGATCGCAGTCGAAAGGTAATTAGTAGTATCTTTCTTTGCTTCGATCTTAGATTTTCACAGCCAAGATACGTTTGAACCTTGAAACGTTGTTACTTTGTTAAGTTAAGTAAATTCATCGAATAATTAGAATTTCTCTTTTTGTATTACCTGTAATACAACTTCGTATTTTTGTATGATTCCATTCAGGTATAAAGGAGCATCCCATTGCAAATTGATTTTCGACGATGTCAATGTCATTCTGAAATTCCTTATTTCCGATGGCGCTATTGTAAACAGATATCATCAGAGATGATGGAATCGATCGAGGAATTGAATTTGAAAAACTGGGCTACCTTCATGAAGAGTTCGAACTTCTTGTGAAAATAATGATATCATTGCTCCTTTGCTGATTGTAACTTTATAGAAGGTATAAGGTATGAGATTTGTAAATTCGTGTGGCAATTCAGTCAAACTACCTTTGCTAATTTCAATGCCTGTTTCCAGATTCTCAAACACGAAGTCGTACCAGTTACTTGGACAAGGATACAAGGATCCCTAAAAATCGATAAAACATTTTCAAACGGCATTAGAAAAAAATTTTGAAGATACAGATAGAAGAAATAATTATTACTTCTTGATCCTTTGTCAATGTTAAACTAGTAGTTTTTATTTTTACGTGAAAGTTGACAGTTGCTGAAAAATTTTCTCATTTATTTCTTATCGTTAAACTGATATTTCTCAAGAATACATATTAAATGTAACAGCTTACGAATGCAACGAGTTGTAAAATTCTTCGAATCGCTGACTATAGGTACGTTATCATTCACGTATAGTATGTAAAAAATCTTATAAATAGTGCCAGGCTCCAAATCGTTGATACGTCCAACCATCATTGAAATATTATCAAATATTTTGGTATAGTTTTCCATGATTTTCAATTCTGGATAAGTAATGTTATCTTCTATTTTCTAGTAGAAGATACATTGATATCGTTTATAAAATTGAAACAGAAAATTATATTTATTTAAATTAACGCTGTTTTAATTACATATGTAACAAACTTGTATCCAAGAGGTATTAACGTTGTTTCATTGAATGATGATAATAATGCCTCTTTCACTGAAAGACTCGCGCGGACCATTGTTTCATTAATAAAATCGATGCTAGGTGGTGGAAGTATGCCATTATTCGTGTTCGTCACTAAGGCGTTAACACTATACAGCATCAGAGTTATTGAAGTTAATAGATTTGTTCCGTTAGTTATACTCGTTACATTCATATTCGTTACGTTAGTTTCGCACTCTCAACTCCGTGTAAAAATTAAATCACAAAAATTAAATTTTACTGTTACAACGTTAATACGTAACGTCGAATATTTAAAGCGACAGTGAACGCATCTTACAATTAGAACGATATTTCTATATGGAGCGAGGGATCGACTTCCTATTGGGTGAATCTACGATAAGGAACATCCGGCTCTTTTCTGATATGTTGAATATTAATAATATGTACAGCGTTTCACTGACCGTATTCAGATAAATATACGTAACAATCGAGACACATTTTGTCGGAAATTTTTATTTAAAAATCGATACAAAATATACAAGGTCTCACAAAAATATTGTACTCGAGTGAGCATGGATTATAAGTTTCATTTATCTTAAGATTGATAATGTCGCGTGTTTAAATCGTTTTCTTATACTCTCTCCCCCAATTCAACTCTTGACGAAACTTGGCAGACTAGGATTTCAATGTTGCCCGATCGGTCAACAGTTTCTGTGTAAAAACGATTCCATTTGATACTTTTGGTTGGAATTATTCTTAAACAGGGCGAGAATCTGGAAAATTAGAATCCGAGGGAGGACCGATCAAGGCGAGAGACGAGGTATCCAAGAATGCACCCTTCTGTGTCTGCCTAAATTGCACCTTGGTGACAGAAGCGCCAGCAGAGCCAGAACGGCACCGAGCAAAGAAACTCCACACAAAGCGCCGGCCGTGACATCGTGGAGAGGAGTGCCGGGTTTGGGAGATTTGGCGGCAAGTAACAAAAGCCCTGCGCAACTCAGCGCCGACAATCCCGCGAGTCCAAGTCCTGTCCAAGTCTTTCTCAACGTTCTGCAAGCGCCTGCCAACGCGCAACAGGCGCCACAACCCGCCGCACTGTCGTAATAATACCTGGAAACGAATTTCGACCTGTTTTAAACATCTAAATCTCATTCTCGGTATCTTTCTTCGTGGATTTGCGTTACCTTCTTCCTTGCGTCCATGACAAGTAGAGTGCCAAACCGCAGGTTAGAATGCCAACCAAGACCAACAAGAACGGCGCGTTTCTTCTGTCGTTCTTCTCCAAACCGCTGGCCAAGGTTGTGTTCGCGTCGCTGTTCGGTGGCGACAGCGGTGGAACCTTACAATAAGTAAAATGCGCACGATTGGATCATCGTTTCGTTCCCTTTGTATTATAATAAGGAATATAATATTTTTTACTCACAACTGCGGTTCTAGCGATGAAGGCACTTTCCACGCTTTGATACCCGTTTCTTTTCTGTCCAGCAGGTATTACTTGATACCTCGGTGAACCGGACACCATCGGCATAGATTCTAGTCCATTTTCCGTGTATGCGTAACGAGGCGGTGGATCACCATGACCCATCGTTACAAGGTCGACCGGAGCTGTGCCAATATAACGTAGTCTTCCACAATTGCTGGCTGGGCAAACGTCCTGTTGACGGGACGGGTTTTCCAATAATGGTAGGCATCTTCGAGCCGATGGCTGCTCTTTGTTCGGGGTTGAAGTGTGAAGACCTCCGTTGAATGTACGATTTTGCGGAGTTCCATGAGGCGTGGAACGAGTAGGGCTGAACGTTCGACCTACATTTCCGTATTTTAGAACACGTATTTTAATAATATCTTAATACTTTTTCAAAGGAAGAAAAAAAGTAGAGGATATTCTTTGGAAAGGCATTTCGAATTGAATTCGTTCGTAGACGAACCACGTACCGGTTGGGGAACCACCTGGAGTGAGTGCTCTTCTTTGTGGCGTACCGGTTTGATTGAACGAGTGCTGCCTCTTTGGAGATAAGGTCCTCTCCTCGGATCTGGATCGAGGAGGTTTCCTGGGTGTGGCTAATATCTCGTGCAATTTTTGCGTGGCCAAGTTATTCTTGGGCGAGGTCGACAATTCTTGACCGTTTCGTTCCGGCAATGCCGGCGGTTCCTCTTCTTGCAAGGGAACTCTGCTATAACGGCCTGTAAAAATAACAATTTTTTTCTCTTTTATTATTTTTTTCTTTTTATTTTAGAAAGAAACCGCGATGGAATTTATGGCGGCGAACCCACCTTGCGGCGTGTTGATGTGCCTCCGCGCCGAGGACGCGCTGTGCTTCACCGTCTTCCACGGGGCTTCCTCGTCCTGGTAATCCTGGTCACCCGGTACAACGGCGTATCTTCCTCCGTTGTTCCGACAACTCTGCGGTTCCCGCCCGTCGTCTTGGTTGGCCGCCGTTGCGGAACGCTGTTGCACCTGCTGCCGCGGAATGAACTCGTACCTCAGGGAACCCCTTCTCTCTACGTGACTTCTCTCCTCCTCGTCCTCTATGTACTCGTACCTTGAACTTTGATTGTACATCGCCCGGTGCTCCTCCACTGGAACGCTTCCATACCTTCGATGCGCCGAGCTGTTCTTACCCTCGTGGTAACGATATCTGCCGCCCTCCACTCTGTTCTCGCCGATTTCTTGAAACGCGGGGTTCGTCTGGCCGCCGTTGTATTGCAGTTGCAACGGCGGGGGTGGCGGGGGCAGATCGTCGCACTGAAATTGTGGCGGTGGCGGCAGCTCACCTCCGCTCTGATCCTCCGGTATGTATTCCGATTGGCGGCAAAACGAGGGGTTGGTGTAACAGTGCACAGGGGCTGGTTCCGATATTTGCGCCATTTTGTTCATTCAATTCGATTCGATTAATTTTCGAATTAATGTTTATACTTTATTCCGATAGATACGAGGCATAATTATCTTTAATTGGCACGCGAAAATAAACGGATTTAATGTTTATTATTCAGAGATTCGCGCACGATACGTTTATATCACACCGTTTTCAACAATCTTTCTTTCCATCGAATTATTGGTGTTTCTGATTCACGAGAATCAGGAGAGCGGTGCTCACGTAGGAGGGGGATGTCCAAGTTTCGAGGGAGAACGTTACCATTCGTGCAGGTGGTGAGATGATCTCTTGCGCGGGAATGTGGCGTGCCTTGCACATTTTCTCTCAATTTCTATTCTCCCCTCGATATTTGTCCACGATATAGATCTGGCGATGTAAAAATACAGGTCTCGAGACGGTCCAAATTATCAGCTTCTTCCGAGAATAGTTTTCCCGAGAATATTTTAAACAGGTAGATGAACAATTAGAGAAGAGAATTCGTTTTCGACTTTATAACTTTTGAACGAAATCGTTGGGGAAATCGTCCAACGTTGAAATGCGTTCGATCCGTGCACCACGGTTGCTCCCAACAAACTGCCACACGAGTTCCCTCAACAGCAGATGTACGAAGGGCGTTTCTCCAAGCGTTTCTCCAACGCACACGCGCGTATATGTGCGGCACGTTACCTGAGGGGTTGTCAGAGGGTTCGCATAATACGGTGTCGCATCTCAGGGTGGGGGTCACCCTATAGTCACCTTCCTTCCAACGTTTTCCTGCGTTACTGCCATCCTCTACAGCGTGTTCAAGAATTTATACGACCTTTGCTGCGCGACATTTAAATTTTAAATCCCGCTCCACATTAATTTCCACCGATCGAACGATTCGAAATCGAATCGATCGAAAGGGTATTCGCGGTGTATTTGAAAAAAACTTGATCGATCCCCGCGATAAACGACGTGGAATAATTTCATCGAATACGTTAGACTCGATAAAAATTCACGAATTTAGATTTAAGAATCTACGAATTTCGACGAATCTCGACGACGTTTTTTTCCTTTTTTCTTTTTTAAAGTAGACGCGAAAAATGCATTTATTGATAAATGCACGATGCACGATGATTATCGTGCCGTGTATCGTAAAAGAACTCCAGTTGAGGGTACTATAGATAACTTTCTGGGCAGCTGCTGCGACCGTTGGGACGCGTGCCCCAATCGTAACAGCTGCTCCAACACAAATGCGTATCGATCACAAACACGCGCTTTATCTTTCACTCTTCGTGCACACTGTTAACTCGTACGACTCGTGTCGGCGAATGCCACGTTAACGGTCGAAAAGTCATTTTAAGGGTGGAGGTCGTAATTGGAAAAAAAAAAAAAGAAACATAAATTGATAGAGTTTTCAAAAAATTGAAACTCGGTTACTTTAAAAAAGCGGGACAAAGATATAGGTTACGATTCTTTATAGACGTTTAACTTGAACGAAGAATTTCCAAAGATCGAAGGTGCTCGAGAAAAGTTTGAAATAAAGAAATAATATAAATTCGATGTAATTAGGAATCGAGGGCGGGAAAAGTATCGACGGTTCCTTTTTTTTTCTTTTTTTTCTCAACGCTAATAATCGTTTTCATCGATGTTTTAACAAACGTAGAAAGTAGGCCGCTAGACGATAAATACGATGGACACATTTTCTTTCTTTCGCCCGCGTTAAACGGTCGCCTATTCTCGGTAGAATTGCGATCAATCTCCAAGAAAGTGTAGCACATTTTCTGCTCCAACGATCGATAGAAGAGAAATATTATTCCGGAAGATCGAGAAAGTGAACTTTTCTCTTTTCTTGCGACGAATTCACACGCGCGATGCCCACTTCTTTCTCTTTCCATTTTTCTATACGCGATTTCCCTTCGAATTTCTTCGATCGTCGCGTGCTTTCGTTCGAACGATAACCTTCTGTTTAAAACAAGAAACGATTGCTCGCGCGAAGGATGTTTCGCGATCATCGTTCGCCTGTGCATTGGAAAACAGGGGTTACACACGCGCGTATTCAAGCGACACGCGTTTTTCTTTCGTCGCTCTTTTCTGAGTCATCTTTTCAATCATCCTTTATTGTTGCATTTACCGTCCAAATTTTATAAATATTCGCAAAGGATTGAAAAATTTAAATTATTGTAAACAACATATAACAACGAAATTAATCGATTTCGCTCGATTTTATTATTCTTCGCGTGATATTGACAGAAAACTTGTTGGAGAGCAGCGTTTCGAGATAATTTAAGCGGGAAACCTACTCTTTTAACAGTTGCTCCGACTGTTGGAAAAGAAAAGGTCGGGTGCCGAGCCCGTGAATAATAAAGGTTAGCGTGATTCTTGAACGAGGATTCTAGGATGTAAACTCTCGCTGTAGTTCCAACTCTAAATTGTAAACGCGTACATACAAATATATATGTATATATATATATATATGCGAATTAATAGGATCATTCGATCACAAATATTCGATTGGAAATATAATAACTCGATACGACGAATTCCATAAGGAGAGGATACGTCGATTGCATTTCTTTCTCGTGACATCGTTTTGTGACCATGGAAAGTGGTATGAAGAAGGCATAAAACAACAACGCGAAGGTTCATCTATCCATCGTTCTCCTCTGTTGTCCCTTTCACTGCAAAACCGACCGCGTGGGAGGCCTGTTCAGGATCTCGTAGCGATTTCAACCCGAACTAGTCTTCGTTCAGTCTTTGCCGGCGTGTCTTTCGCGGTTTCTGTCTCTCGTCAAATTAGATGGCCGGAAATTTCTCCAATCGCCTTCTGTCGAGGAGCGAAATCCAAAAGGATTTGGACGGGAGACGCGCGTGTTATCGAGAGAATAAAACGATTAACGTTGAGAGAGGTGGAGGAATTCAGCTCGCTTGGTTTTAACGCGATTAATAAAGGGGAAAGACGTTTGCGACCGGTGACAAAACGAGCGTGGAAACTGGATCGTGGTGATTTCTCAAGAGATTGAAAATCCAGCGCGGGTACAAAGAAATCGGTGAAAACGCGATTGTATGAGAAAACACGCGTGCAACGAGATAATTGCATCGCCTTCGTAGTCAACTGTTGTTGCATAATATTCGCAGGCAAGTGGAAAAGAAGAAAAAGAAGCGTCAGATTGTTAAACCTATTTACCGTTTTCACGTTTATTGGACACAAGCGCGGTGGCTCGTTCCTTCTCCTCTGGATTTTTGTCCCCGTTGCTCCATTGTTGGAAACGTATTGCACAAGCGTTGCTTCGGCTAGTCACGAAGAAATCCACGATGGTGGGACGAAGATTTCAATTAAATCCAAGCGGTTAGCATAATTGGATGCTCGCCTCTGCCGCTACGGAAATCATTGTCCATTTCTGTCTGCTGATGGAACAATTCACCAATTTGCATTTCAATAATTCCGCGTCGCGGCCGTCGAATAGTCACGACGATCTCGGGGACGTAACGGTGAAATTAGTCTCTCTGTTGGCGTTCGCCACGAACGGTGAAAATCCTCGTGTCGCATTTTTCTTCTTACTTTCGTCGTATCAATAAACAATAAACCGCTTGGAGGGATCCAAAGTTAATTTGTTTCGTTGGTGAGAAATCATGAGGCGCGAGAGGAGAGGCGAAATTTTCGTTGCTTCGATCGAAAATTTTCCTTCGCCGACGACCTCGTGACGAATCTCTGCGACAGATTCGTAAGACTGAGATAAATCGATGCAAAACGATGGAAAACGTGTACGTGATAAAAGTGAAAACGAAGCCGGCATTGTCCACCCTGTACCCATCTGAGCGGCGTTACTCGGCATCCACCGTGGGAGGTCTGTCCTTGGTGCATTTCGGCCTGGGCGCTCTCTCCCTTCTGCTGGGCAGCCTGGCCCTGTCTCTTCAAGGCCCAATCCTATCTGTCGCCTGTCTGGTCCCGTTCGTGACCGGACTGTTCGCGTGGAGAAGATGGTACATAGACAGGAACATCGCTATCTTCTTCTACGGAAGCCTGTTCTCGTTGACGGCGGCCATCCTCTGCTTCGTCGCGACGATATTCGACATCGCCGCCGCCGCCGAGAGCAGAGATCCTCTGTGGTCGCTCGAGAAGATTTTCGACCGGGAGAATCATTCTCGCTTCGAGCAACAATTGAGAAACGATACCCTGTTTAACAACAACAACGAGGAGGATCGAGGAGGACCAAAAGTTAACCTCTACTCGCCCACGCCTGGCATTGTACTCGACAACATGTCCAACATATCGGGATACATATTGAGAAGTTCGACGATCGATCCTGGAACGAAAAGCGACACGATGACTCTTAACAACGGGGAGAATTTGATCAACGTGACCTCGCCAATGATCAACGATGACGGGACGATGTCGTTCTGGTACATGGATTATCACAAGTCCTCGCACGCTAGAATTTTACTAACCGTGAACGTGCTCGTCGCTTCGCTTCTCGAAGCGTTTTGGTCCGCTCTCAGCGCTAGAATAGCTCTGCGAGGGATGATGAACCGTTTGCCGGAAAGCAGTTACTCGAATGGAAACGGAAAACTGGATGGAACGGCGATAGGAAAGCGGAAGGCACCGAGACCGGACATTTTGGACCACGATCGTAGATTGTCCGAAAGTTTGCAAAACTTGACGGCGCGGCACAATCTGAGGAACACGGGGCCGAGGTTGCCCCTGCCGGAATCGAGCAATGAATTCAGAGAAAGGGTGGAAAGATTTCTGGCAAATCAGGCGGCGCATCACGAAGGATCTTGCTCTTGAAAAACTCAGTCGAGTTATTAAATCGATCATTCCTTGTAAGATCACGTAATTTGCAGATCTCGCAGTGTACATGCAAATATATCAATCCTTTATATATGTAATTACGCATTTATATGTAACGGATTAAGATAGCAATGTTACGTCTTCGTTCGATCGCATCGTTTAATAAGCAATAATAAAGTTCCACGCAACGAAATTGCTCGCTAATTTCCTTCATTGACGATTTCGTTAATTAGCTCGAAACCGATTGTTAAACCGATTGCAACGCAACTGGCGCACGGACGATTCAGAACGGCCGAGTTCTGTTAAAGAACGGCTTTACAACGAGTCTTCATTCCGAAAGATCGTATCGGGAGGGGGAAACACTTTAATTGCGATTTATTAACTTCGGTCGCCACGTTCCTTTACCTCTGTTAATTAAATGATTCAGCTTGCGTCAAACTCCGTTCTGAACTCTCTCGATCTCCAAGTGTATACAAAAAAAAAAGAAAAAACACTTTTCCATCGCGAGATCGCATCGCGTATTCCCTTCCTTCTCGATTATTTATTTTTACCCGATGCGAGAATCGTGCGAATAATAATCCGTTGCATTCGTCTAATCGCGTTCATTGATCGCGTTGCGAACTTGAAATATAAGCACGTAATAAGAAATACACGTTGATCATCGATTGGCTCGAAGATATTGGCTCATTTTTTTTATCCTGTCGCTGCCTCGAACGATCTGGATCAACGTTACGTAGAATGGGGGCGCGCGTGTGTGCGCGCATTGCAAAAGTTCAACGATCGTTGCGCGTTGCGAAATCTTACAATCTGATGTTGGCCAACGAGAGCGGGAACAAGGGAGTTCGGTAAGGAAACTGCTGACAATGGAGGCCTGCAATGTAGATCCCACATTCCTCGTTAAATGGTTACCTGGGTGTGTTTCAGCGACATATCGGCAACGATAAAATCGTTGACCTGGTGGACAATTAGTACATATCGCGTTTATTCGTATCCGTTTCTTCGCTTCAATTCAACATCGAGGAGGAGCATTGACGAACGGTGAAAGTGGTGATTATTCTTCCTTTCCATTCGTCGCACTCTTGAAGGGAAGGATGATGTTTACGATACATACGATTACGTTTTCTTTACAAAACAAAGCTTTTATTTTTTTTTTTTTTCTTTTTTTCAATCATCGTTAGTTACATCGTTCGACTTGCTACGTATCGGATCTTAAGGTACACTTTATCGAGTAGTTAAACAACGTTAAACTATTATCCTCTAAGCTGGCCTTTTCTTTTTTTTTTTTCTTCCTCCTCCTCCCCCCCCCTCTTCATCTTCGAATCTCGATTATAAAATATCTGCATCTGTGCTTATTATACATCTTAACGAACGGCAATCTTTCTCGATCGATATTCCCCCCCCCTCCCCGCCCCCCATCTGTAATATTTTCGATTCGATAAAAATCGATATCTCTCTGTTTTCTATATCGTCGTTCTTGGTCCACCGGGATTGTATGATCGAAAGGGAATCTTTAGCCTTTGCAACGAGTAAAAAGCTCGACAGAAGCTCTAGGACACAGATCGCGAGCACGGGTGTTTGCTTATTTATTATTTTATACTAAAACGACGTGTGATAAATACTTTGCTCAAAAGAAAAAAACACGAATTGTTCGAATCGAGTGGACGTGCAAAGGCATTTTTTTTACGGTTTTGCGGGGGAAAAAAAAAAAAAAAGAAGAACGATCGTTCGAATGGCAGTGATCGAGAAAATTTACGGTAAAAATAACGTGCTCACATTATGGAACTTGTGTCGAACATTCCCGACAATTAACGTCTAAGTGCGAAATCGAGTTGACGTCTAACGAGATATTGGCAAGAATAAAGCACACGTTTGTACATGGACGTTTCTAATCGAATCGCCAAAGCGAAGGTCTCTCTTTTTCAACCTGATGGGAATCAAGTTTTTGACATACCAACAACTTTTGTACGTCTTTTTCTTTTTTCTTCCCCCCCTTTTTCAGAGACCTTTTCTTCGACGCATCGCTTACGAGACTAATTCTCTCTCTCTCTCTCTCGCTTCTTCTCTCTTTATGCGCGATTTCTTTTTTTCTTTTTTTTCTTTTTTTTTTTTTACCTAACACACAATTCTTTAGCATTAGATTAACATTACGAACAACGAACGGGCGACATCGTTTAATTAATTAATAAAAATACATCGTTACGTAGGATCTCTCGCACGATTACTCTTTCACGTAGAATCTACTACTCTTTTTCTAACCCCCTTCACACTTGTATTATTATTAATAATAATAATAATAATAGTAATAATAATAATAATAATAATAATAATAATAAGAAAAGCACGATCCAACGCGCGCATTCTTTCATCCGATCATGTTACGCTCTATAATATATGTTTACGCCTTAAGCTTAACCGTACCACAAATCACATCGCTTATATTCTATTTTTATCTAAATACGATAAATTTTTGCACTCTTCGTCGCCATCCTTCAAAGGATACAATTTCCTAGCTCTGTTTAACGGCTAATTCGAACACGTTTATGGCGTGTACGATACGAAAAAAGTAATGTGTAATGCACAGCTCTCTCTCTCTCACACACACACACACACAAATCAAAGTATAGTAAATTGTACAATCGAATCGAGAGGTTCCTTCCTCTCTTTTCTACACCTCGATGATAAATCACACGTTGACCGGCCTAACGTTATCGTCGGATTGCTGTTGCTCGCCGCTCTGCCAGCCCGAGTCCAAGGTGGTCGAGTCGCTCAGGCAACACTGGGGCGTCTCCTCTTCCTGGCTGCTCCTGTAATCCCTGTACTCCCTCCCTCTTTCCGCCTCCTCCTCCCTGAAGTATCCCGAAGTGGCGGCCCCTTCCTGGAGTTGCTCGTCGTCCTTGGCCGCGTAATAAGAGTAACGGCCCTGCTGGATCACTTCGTACTGCGCGTCGGGCGCGAGGAACGGCCCTCTCGCGCTCCTCGGCTCGTCGCTGTTCGCGTAATTGTCGGACGGTATGTCGCCACCGTCGGACGGCAACGGGAGAGGCATCCGCGATCTCTTGGACAGTTGTCGTTTGCCCAAACGGGCCGCCAGGTAATCCACCCCCTCCGAATGCTCGGTACCTGCGTGAAACATTACACTCTCTCTCATTGCCTTCCCAATCTCCTCGTTCAAAGTAAGTGAATTCACCTTCTTTCTCCACGGCCAGATCGTAGAAACTGCTCTCGGGCCCGCAACACGAGGACACGTCGCCGAAATACAACTCGCTCTCCGACTGTTTCGGTCCAGCGTTCGCCTCCTGTTGGAACGCCCCGTTCTCCACTCCTTTCAAAGGCTTCCTCGCGCGTCTTGTGCCCTTCATCGTGCCCCCCTCGTTGCCCCCTTCCGGGTCGGTGCTGTTCGATATCTCCTCGGCGTTCTCGTAATTGTCGGATGGCCGTTTCGCGGCCCTCGATCTGTGATCTGGAAAAACGCACAGAGTTCGACCTCCCTCCTTTTCCCGTAGCCGTTCTTTTAACACACGCCTCTCTCACCCTCATTGTTCTCGAAGTTCTCTATTCGCTTCGCGATTCTGGGCCTCTGCTCGGCTACTTGAGGCCGTCTAGCGGGGCTGTTGGGGTCGCTGTAGGGCGGCGGCGGCCCCCACAGGGGGACCGGTGTCTCCAGAACGCTGTAAGACGCGGTGCTCGGGGTGTAAGGCCCGTTCTGGGTGTTCAACACGGAGTAGGGGCCGCTCGATTGGGAATTGAGCACGCTGTAAGGGCCATTCGTGCTCTCCACGTTGGCCTCCGTCTGCCTGGCCTGAGTGTGAAACCCGTAATTCGAATCTGGACTCGGAGCCGGACCTCTGGACCTCGACCAAGGCAGCCGCCATCTCCTACGTGAAATGAAACGAACAATCGTTTTGCTTCCTTGTCCTTTCCCCCCCCCCCCTCTTTTCGCACGCAATATCATTCGTTCCTTCAAATATATATTGTCGCATTTGTATTTCATTTTTCCCGATCGAATGTGGAAAAAGTTTTTTTCTTTCTATTCTATTCGAACGAAACAACATCCGTCCGTCCGTCCTTCCATAATTTATTCCCGGGACGAAGAAATCAACGTTGTTGGAACGTCACAAGCTGGATGGAATTCCATGGCTTAATTAATGCCATACATTAGCGGATTACCGGAATACAATGTGTCCTGGGAACACGGAGGGATCGTTGCCTTGTTTACGAGTTTATCGCACTCCTCCCCTCCGTTATTCGTGACATTCGCGAATGAATTCTATCGAATATGTATCGTTGCGCTCGGTTGCGAATGCACTCGAATCGATAATTTCTCAATGAACCGTAATTGATTGGGGAGGAGGGCGCGTTCTGTCGAATTCGCGCCACGACACACAGCTACCTTGCTTTATTCGCGTCTCTCGTCGACGAATTTGAAACGAAAATCGATGGAAATATGAGGAGAAAACGAACCTGGACGGGGCCAGATCGGGATTCGGCGTGTAAAGATTGCCCGGCGTCTGCGCCCACCAAGGGCTGGCGCCGCCGCAATCGTTGCAGCAGCCGCACGACCCGCTCGTCGGCCCCACGCCGCCTCCTTGCCCGTACAGCGATCTGCACCTCAGCTCCAACTGCTCCCAATACATCTTCTTCTTCTCGTGGCTGAGCAGCTGGTAGACGAGCATGCAGGAGAATATACAGGCCAGGATCCCGGCCACCGAAACGCCGAACAGAGCTCTGAGGCAGGCGTGGAGGGCGCCGTGAACCGCCTCGCAGTGAGGCGTGCCCTCGAACAGAACCCCTGGATCTCCTTCAGGCGCCCCGTAACACGTGCACGACCTGCGTTTTCATCATCGAATCTTCGAGTATAATATATGTTCATATCGATCTTGGGACAAGAATAGACGCAGCTATCCAACACCTTACCTCGCTTTCACCGTGTAAACGCATTTTCGAAGACCTTGCAGCCGGGACATGTGTATCACCGTCGTCGTCACTGTGACGAGGACGCATACCAAAGCGCACACCACCCCGACCGATCCGCACACTTTCATCTGGAAGAAAGGAAGAAGTAAAAATTCGAAGGTTGGAAAGAAAAGAGGGAAAAGCTTATTGCCAAGCTTACCAAAAGTCCGTATCTGTGTTTCCGTCTTGCGAGCAGCATCGTGAACAGGCCCATCAGGATTAACTGGAAATCAAATCGCGTATTCGTGATTACTCGATTTTTCAATCGCGCGAATGACGACGCGGTGATGTTTGCCTCTCTCACCATTATGCCAGGAATGTAAGATGGTACAGTCTCGAAGAGAGCGAGGCTGGCCGTGTGGGCTGAAAGGACCGCGTGCACCGCCAAAAAGAGGCTGCCAACCGCAGCGCTCAGCCCCCCACAAAGGCAACAAAGGACAACGTACTTCTTGCAGCAACCACCTTCCCCCGTGTGGCCTGTGATGGAAATTAAAATCGGTCACCGATAGCACGGAAGCGATAGGCTTTATACGAGGGGGATTAAAGAAAAAGAAAGGGGAGAGGAGGAGGGGGGAGGGAGAAAGAAGGAGCGTTCGTTACGCTTCGTATATCCTGAATGAGGACACGGTTACGGGCAAATATTTTTCATCTTTGGGGAATGAAGAAGCGTGACGTAATATTTCGAATCTTTCCTTCAAAGGGCGTGTTACGAAATAGGTGGAAGGATATTTTCACGGTGGCCGAACGTGGTGGAATCTTTTGTACGACTATCGACCCTTTTCGGGAAAAAAAAAAAAAAAGAAAAGAAAAGAAAAGATCCCGCAGAGACTTATTCCCATCGAAACGCCTCCTTCCTTCACGGGATAATGATTGTCCTTGCGTGAGAACCGAAGAAACGGGAGCTTTGACCCGACCACAATAGGAAACGAGCGAAATTCCTCGAATCTCGTTAGTCGATCGGATTATTACCTTCCTAGATCGCCTCTATCCCTTTCCTCTTTTATCAGTTTCTTTTAATTAGACCCCTCTGGGGAAGTATCGTTGTTCGACCAACGTCGTGTCACGTCGCTTTCAACTTATCGTCGAACCGTCGATTCGAATGTAAAAAAGTATTGTAGCGAAGTACGGATGCGTGGAAAATTGCTTTCAAAGCGATCCTGACGTTGAGCGCATAGGTGGTGCTTTTTTCATCACACGTAGCCGACCAGCATTTCATTCTCGATCATTCGGGCTCAACTTTTGTTGTCAAAGCTTCCAATTGAGCCGAGTACGCTGTATTGGAAATTCCTTTAATGAATGTTGAGCGATGGAAGCGTCGTTGCTTCAAAGACAATAGCAGATTTTCTCTCTCTCTCTCT